CTCCAGTCTGGGTGACAGTGGGACTCCAACTCAAAAAAAAAAAAAAAGAAAGAAAAGAAAAAAAATTACTAGATTTGCCAGGAAGTAGGAAAATATGACCCATAAACAGAAGAAAAATCATTTAATAGAAACAAGACTCAGAAATGATAAAGATGATAAGTGGCTCAATATGCTCAAGAGTTTAAAGAAAAACATGAACAAGATGTTCATGAGGAAAGAAATGGAAGATATGAAAAGAACCCAATGGACCATCTAAAGATAACAAGTACCGTACCTGAAATGAAAAATTCACGGAATGAAATTAACAGCAGATTAGATCCTATAGAATAAAAAATCAGTGAGGCCAGGTGTAGTGGCTCATGCCTATAATCCCAGCTCTTTGGGAGGCCAAGGCAGGAGGATTGCTTGAGCTCAGGAGTTCGAGTTCCAGCCTAGGCAACATAGCAAGACCTTGTTTCTATTTAAAAAAGAAAGAAATCAGTGAATTTGAAAATATAGCAATACAACTATCCAAACTGAAACAGAAAAGAGAAAAAAGTACTGGGAAAAAAAGTCAAAGAGCCTCAGTAATCTGGAAGACACTATAAGCATTCTAACATATGTATAATTGGAATCCCGGAGGACTGAATAAAGAAATAGAGGAAATAAGACAAATTTAAAGCAACGATGGCCCAAATTTTTCCAAATTTGATTTAAAAAAACTACTGTAGGGGGTTAAATGTTGTACCCCCACCCCCAAGATATGTCCACATCACATTCTAACCCTCAGAATCCATGAATGTGGCCTTATTTGGTAAAAAGGTCTTTGCAGATGTAATTAAGTTAAGGATCTCAAGATGAAACATCCTGGATTATCTAGGTGGGTCCAAAATCCAATGATAAATGTCTTTATAAGACATTCAAAAAGAGGAGAAGGCCATATGAAGATAGAGGCAGAGACTGTAGTGATATAGCCATGAGCCAAGGAGTGACTAGAGCCACCAGAAAGAGGCAAGAAAGGACTCTTTCCTAGAGCCTTTGGAGGGACTGCCACTCTGCCAACACCTTGAGTTTGGACTTCTGGCTTCCAGAATTGTGAGAAAATAAATTTTTGTTTTCTTAACCCACCCAGTATATTAATTTGTTGTGGAAACTAATACAATGATAAACCCACAGAACTAAGAAATTCAATTAACCTTAAGCAAGACAATCACAAAAAAAATTACACCAAGGCCAATCATAATCAAATATTGAAAACCAGTGATAAAAATAAAAGCTTTAAAGAATTCCAAGAAATGAGACTCATTATGTATGGAAGAACAAATATAGGAAATACAACATATTTCTCATCAGAAACTATGCAAGCCAGAAGACAATATAAGGAAGTCTTTAAAGTGCTGGGAGGAAAAAAACAAAAACAAAAACAAAAACTTCTGACCTAGAATTTTTTTCTCCAATCCAGTATGATTGATATTGACCTAGAATTCTATATCCAGTGAAAAGATTCTTCAAAAACGAAGGGGAAATAAACACTTTAGCAGACAAATACTAAGAGAATGTATTGCCAGATGTGTAGAAAATGTTAAAGGGAGTTCTTCAGGTGGAAAGAAAATAATACCAGATGGAAACCCGGATTCATACAAAGGATTGAAGAATGCAAAAATATCAAATTTGTAAGTATAAGAATGTCAATAAAATATTTTAAACCCTCAAAAATAAAGAGAAGAGATATCAGCAGATGTGAAACTTCAATGCAACTTTAGAACATGGAAAGTGACTGAGGTATCACAATTGACTTAGGGGAGCAGAGGAAACCAAGGCAGTCACAGAGGGGATCCCCTGTAAGTAGCAAGCCAGGTCACCCCCAGAACCCCTGAAAAATACATGGCCTGTGGGCAGTGGGATCAGAGGAGGTGAGGGTGACGCTCAAAGCTGAACACAGGGTGGCTGGTTACAATTCAGAACCTCCTGGTCCCTTGTAAAGGGACTCACCACAGGAGGCCAGGCATTTATTCTGTATAGAA